AAGTCCAGAACCAGATGGCTTCACAGATGAATTCTACCAAATTATTTATTTATTTATTTATTTATTTTGTTTATTTATTTATTTATTTATTTGAGAGAGACAGCATGCAGTGGGGAAAGGCAGAGGGAGAGAGAGAAAGAGAATCTTTTTTTTTTTTTAAGATTTTATTTATTCATTTGAGAGAGAGAGTGAGAAAGAGCATGAGAGGAAGAAGTCAAAGGGCGAAGCAGACTCCCCATAGAGCTGGGAGCCCGATGCGGGACTAGATCCCAGGACTCTGGGATCACGACCTGAGCCAAAAGCAGTAGCTTAACCAACGAAGCCACTCAGAATCCCCGACAGAGAGAATCTTAAGCAGATTCCCTTTGAGCCCAGAGTCCAGAGCCGGATGCAGCACTGGATCTCACAACCCTGGGATCACAAGCTAAGCCAAAACCAAGAGTCAGATGCCCAACCAGCTGCGCCATCCAGACACCCCTCTACCAAATATTTAAAGAAAAGTTAATACCTGTTCTTCTCAAACTTTTCAAAAAAATAGAACAGGAAAAAAACTTCCTAATTCATTCTGTGAGACCAGCATTATTCTAATATCAAAACTAGATAGAGATACCACACAAGGAAGAGAACTATAGGCCAGTATCTCTGGTGATTATAAGTGCAAAATTCCACAACAAAATATTAACAAACAGAATCCAACAAAAAAATCATTCACCACAATCAAGTGGGATTTATTCCTAGGATGTGAAGGTGGTTCAATATTCACAAATCAATCAATGTGCTATATCACATCAATAACAGAAAGAATAAAACCACATGATCATTTCAAGAGATGCAGAAATAGATATAGAAAAAGCTTTTGACAAAGTACAACATCCATTCATGATTTTTAAAAAAAACCCTCAACACAATAGCTTTAGAGGGAATAAATCGCAAAATAATAAAGGCCATATATGAAAAGCCCACAGCTAACATCATACTCAATGGGGAAAAACTGAGCACTTTTCCCCTAAAGTCAGAAACAAGGTAAGGATGTCCACTCTCACCACTTTCATTCTACATATAAATTGTTTTGAATACTTTATGAGGTTTTTTTTTAAGTATTCTATACCTTCAGATCTGAGAAATACTCTATTTCTTTATAATTTCTGACTTTTTGTTTCTTGTCTCTTTAGATAAAATTACAATTAGTTGCCTAATATCCTTGTTGCTCCCCTTAATTTTTTTCCTGTCATAATTTCTAGGGGCTTTGTTTGTTTTTTTTTCCCTTTATTAGGTGATTTTCAAGAATTTTCATCACCATCATAATTGTTATTATTTTGTAATTTTAGAAGTCATGTTTTAAATTTCCAAGAATGCTTTCTTCTTTGTTCCCTTTTCATAGCATCCTCCTGTTTCAAAAAATTAATACCATCTGTATCCTCTCTAAGCACATACATTAGGTTATTAAAAACTCAGTCTTCTATTTGCTGTACTTTGTGTGTGTGTGTGTGTGTATTATTGTTTCTTATAGATGATAGTGCTAGATATGTATTTTTAAAAGATGTTTATTTATTTAATTCCAGTATAATTAACATATAGTATTATATTAGTTTCAGGTGTACAATATAGTGATGCAACAGTTCTATACATTACTCAGTGCTCATCAAGATAAGTGTAGTCTTAATTCCCTTCACCTATTTCACCCACCCACCTCCACAGTTTGTTCTCTATAGTTTGTTTGTTCTCTATAGTTAAGAGTCTGTTTCTTGGGTTGTCTCTTTTTTTTCTTTGTTCATTTGTTTTGTTTTTTAAACTCCACATATGAGTGAAATCATATGGCATTTGCCTTTCTGTGACTGACTTATTTTATTAGCATAATACCCTCTAGATTCATGCATGTTGTAAATGACAAGATTTCCTTCTTCTTAATAGTTGCATAATACTCCATTGTGTATATATATATGCTGCTAGTTATGTATTTTATGTGCGGTGCATTCTGGTTCAAGAATGAATGACTAAGCTGATTATAGGTAGATGTTTTTCTTATGTAGGTTAATATGCTTCCCCATTAGCTTTTCTCCTGAGTGAAAGGCTGACCAGAACTCTATGTAAATGTGTGTATGTGTATGTGCATTGTGTATGTACATTGTGTGTGTGCATTGTATGTACATTGCTTTAGTATCCATTTCCTAGGAGGGATCTCTTGCAGACCTTGGAGGAACCTCCAAGCCTAACTTCAGAGGAAAACTATGTGGTTTTGTACCTCCCAATATAGTAAGGGGAGAAAACAGAAGTAAGGGCTTATAGAAGGGCATTTGGCATTATTTTTCTATCACTGTTTTTCTAATACTATGAAGTTACTCTGAGGTTTATTCTACCTAATGTGATGGCTAATTTGAAGCTTAGCTTTACCTATGTTCTTCATGGTGTGAGATCAAGAGAAGCCAGCTAGAGAAGGGACAACCCCACAATCTCAAATAAGGTCTCTGAGAGAGGAAAGGTTGTTCACTGAAGAGGCTTTTACAAATTGTCTCAAATATATACTCACCAAGAATGGTGAACTTAAGAAGATGAGATACCCCTTGACACGAAAAGTGAGATCTATCCCTTCAGAAGTCTTAAAGCTCTGAAAGATGGCTGAGGCAAATGTCTAACAACAGATGGATGGATAAAGAAGATCACACACATACACACACACACATACACATTATTCACTTATAAAAAAGAATGAAACTAGCCATTTGCAACAACATGGATAGAGCTAGAGAGTATAGTGGGATTTACTTCTGGGATGCAAGGGTGGGTCAACATTCAGAACATAATCAACATGATATATCACATCAATACAAAAAAGCATAAAACCATATGATCATTTCACTAGATGCATAAAAAGCATTTCACAAGGTACATCCATTCATTACAAAAAAAAAAAAAAAAGAAAGAAAAAAGAAAAAAAAAAACAAAAAAAAACCACAACACCCTGCAATTCAGGTCTAGAGGGAACATATCTAACCCTAATAAAGTCTTTATATGAAGAATTCACAGCCAACATCATACTCAATGATAAAAAACTGAGATCTTTTCCCCTAAGGTCAGGAATAAGACAAGGATGTCCACTCTCACCCCTTCTATTCAATGTAGTACTGGAAGTCCTAGGTGCAGCAGTCGACAACAAAAAGATATAAAAGACATCCAAACTGGTAAGGAAGAAGTAAAACTCTCACTATTTGCAAATGACATGACACTATATATATAAAAAAAACCCTAAAGATGTCACAAAAAAATAACTACTAGAACTGATAAATTAATTCAGTAATGGATACAAAATCAATGTACAGAAATCTGTTGCATCCCTATAAACTAATAATGAAGCAGGAGAAAGAGAAATAAAGAAAATAATTTCACTTATTATTACACCAAAAACAACAAAATATCTAGGAACAAACTTAACCAAAGAGTCAAAAAAAATCTGAACTCTGAAAACTATAAAACACTGATAGAAGAAACTGAAGATGGCACACACAAAAAAAATGGAAAGATATCCCATGGTCATGGATTGGAAGAATAAATATTGTTAAAATGTCTATACTACCCAGAGCAGTCCACATATTTAATGAACTCCCTATCAAAATACCAACAGCATTTTTCACGGAGCTAGAACAAACAATGTTCAAATTTCTGTGGAACCACAAAAGACCCCAAATAGCCAAAGCAATCTTGAAAAAGAGAAGCAAAGCTGTAGCCCCCACAATTCCGGACTTCAAGCTACATTACAACGCTGTAATGATCAAAACAGTACAGGTACTGGCACAAAAACAGACACATAAATCAACAGAACAGAATAGAAAATCAAGAAATAAACCCACGATTATATGGCCAATTAATCTTTGACAAAGAAGGGAAAAAAATCCAATCGGAAAAAGTCTCTTCAACAAATGGTATTGGAAAACAGGACAGCAACATGCAAAAGAATGAAACTAGACTACTTTCTTACACAACACACAAAACCAAATTCAAAATGGATTAAAGTCCTGAATGTGACACCTGAAACCATAAAAATCCTAGAGGAGAACACAGGCAATAATTCTTTGACATGGGCCATAACAACTTCTTTCTAGATATGTCTGCTGAGGCAAGAGAAACACAAGCAAAAATAAACTATTGAGACTACAGCAAAATAAAAAGCCTCTGCACAATGGAAGAAATAATCAACAAAACTCAAAAGCAACCTACAGAATGGGAAAAGATATTTGCAAATGACATATATACGACAAAGCGTTTTAGTATCCAAAATATAGGTATATAGGTATATACATATGTCAAAATGTCACTCTTACCTTCAGATATTAACTAGCAAAGTGTGCAGCAACCCATACAAAAATTAAAATTTTGACTAAAAATGGAAAAGTAACCAAATTGTAACTGGTTATTTTTGTCCATATCTTAATAGGTAAAATGATGAGACTAATGATGCCACACACCAAAGAGAAACTGAAAAATTTTATTACTCATATAATGAGGTTTTCTGGCAGGAAGAGAGCAGACTCTCAACCAGGACCAAAAATGACACTAGAGAGCAAGTTGCAGTGATTATCTTTGGCTTTTATTGTGGTTAAGGTGTGAGGCTAAAGTAAGAGTTCCATAGGGCTTCTGTTCATTTAATCTAGTTGAATTTGAACTTAAGTCATTATGGAATCCTACATGTCCAGAAAGTCTGAGGCTGGTAAGAGGTAAAATTTCTACTGACTGCCATCTTCAGGAGCCTAATGTTGTGTATTATAAGAAGAGAAATCAGTAATTTGGTTACTACCAATAATGTCTGTAAACCTGGGTGATAGGGAATGTCTGGATAAGTCCTTCATTATGGCTTTAGCATGTATACATCCATATGGGGCCTTGATTTATATTTTTGCACATCTGTGAGGCAGGAAATTATCACAGTCCTTTTCCTCAGAGGAAGCAATCTTGGTGACTGAAGTTCAGCCAATTGTGCTGACCTTTGAGTCCCATCCTTCACAGGGATGTTCAGTGTACGAAATGAAAGTCAACAACTCTCCTTGGAGCTCCGTATGTGTGATGGTGGCACAGCCATCTGCAAAATGAACAAACTCCTTTTGCTGTTCATTCAGTTGATTCCTAGGGGCTCCCCATGTAGCCAAGGGGTCCAGGAGATGTATGAATTCCCCCATCACCATGGCATGTGTCAAGGGTCTAAGGATAGAACACCACCCCCTCTTGCAGGTGGCATATGTCAGAGGACCCAGATCTGGCCCCATCCTGCATAATGCCTATTTTCATTTTAGCAAGGAGGATTTAGAGGTCATGCCATGCTTGTAGGGTACTGCTTCCATGACACAGGCTTAATAGGAAATTTGGTATGGAAGGTCATAGACTCAGGGCCTCTAAAAATTTCCCAAAAGAAAATAGTATGTGGCCAGCAGTTATCACTCTAATGGCATACAGTATGGGATTTAAGAGGGCAGTCTCTTGTACCAGAAGACATTATTACATAAACCATTATGGTATATTGTGTGGCCTGCAGCTTGAGGCTGGTTAGGGAGGTGGATAATTTATGGCCATCACAGGCAGACCAGAGACTCCAGGAGGCAAGAAAAGAGGTTGTTAAGACCTCTGTAAAAGGAGTTTTATTGGACATTGATGGAAATGCCTTTTATACTACAATTTAAACAATTCTAGAGCTTTGCTCTGGAGGGTCCTATTCAAAGTGGGCTGATTTTTCAAGTAACAGTGTAAATTAGCTTAAACAAAACTTGTGAATGAGGAATATATTGCCTCTATTTTTTTTAAGATTTTATTTATTTATTTGACAGAGATCACAAGTAGACAGAGAGGCAGGCAGACAGAGAGAGACAGAGGAGGAAGCAGGCTCCCTGCCGAGCAGAGAGCCCGACGTGGGGCTCGATCACAGGACCCTGGGATCATGACCTGAGCTGAAGGCAGAGGCTTTAACCCACTGAGCCACCCAGGTGCCCCGGAATATATTGCCTCTAAAGTCCAAAATGGCCTAAAAGATGTTCAGCTTGTTTTAACATTATGGGTGCTGAAAGGGTCAGTAACTCTTTCTTGACACTATGAGGTATGGAGAGGCCCTTGACTGATCAAATAACACCCAAAAATGGGAGGAGTCAAGATGGCGGAGAAGTAGCAGGCTGAGACTACTTCAGGTAGCGGGAGATCAGCTAGATAGCTTATCTAAAGACTGCAAACACCTACAAATCCAACAGGAGATCGAAGAGAAGAAGAACAACAATTCTAGAAACAGAAAATCAACCACTTTCTGAAAGGTAGGACTGGCAAAGAAGTGAATCCAAAGAGAGGGGAAGATAAACCCAGGGGGAGGGGCCGGCTCCCGGCAAGTGGCAGAGCAACAGAGCACAAAATCAGACTTTTAAAAGTCTGTTCCGCTGAGGGACATCGCTCCAGAGGCTTAACCAGGGTGAAGCCCACGCGGGGTCAGCGTGGCCTCAGGTCCTGCAGGGTCACAGAAGGATCGGGGGTGTCTGAGTGTTGCAGAGCTTACAGGTATTAGAATGGGGAAGCCGGCTACAGAGACAGAGCTGAGGAGTGAGCTCTCAGCTCGGGGTTACCTTGAAACGGTCGCAGGCTAGGTCAGCTCGGAGCGCAGCCGGGGGCCAGGGTGACGGGAGTAACTGGGCGCTGTTCTCTGAGGGCGCACTGAGGAGTGGGGCCCCGGGCTCTTGGCTCCTCTGGGCCGGAGACCGGGAGGCCACCATCTTCATTCCCGTCCTCCGGAACTCTATGGAAAGCGCTCAGGGAACAAAACCTCCCAAAGCAAACCCGAGCGGATTACTCAGCCCAGCCCCTGGTAAGGGTGGTGCAATTCCGCCTGGGGCAAAGACACTTGAGAATCACTACAACAGGCTCCTCCCCCAGAAGATTAACAAGAAACCCAGCCAGGACCAAGGTCACTTACTGAGGAGTGCAGTTTCAATACCAAGGAGAGTAGCGGAACTCCAGAGGAGGAGAAAGCAAAGCACGGAACTCATGGCTTTCTCCTCATGATTCTTTAGCCTTGCAGTTAATTTAATTTTTTTTTTCAATTTTTTTTCTCTTCTTCTGCCAAATTTTTTTTAACTTTTACCCTTTTCTTTTTTAACGTTTTTTAACTAGTTTATCTAATATATATATATTTTTTCTTTTTTCTATTTTTTTCTTTATACATCTTCTTTTTTTAATTGTTTCATTTTTTTTTCTTTTCTTTCTGAACCTCTTTTTATCCCCTTTCTCCCCCCTCATGATTTGGGATCTCTTCTGATTTGGTTAAAGCATATTTTCCTGGGGTTGTTGCCACCCTTTTAGTATTTTACTTGCTCCTTCATATACTCTTATCTGGACAAAATGACAAGGTGGAAAAATTCACCACAAAAAAAAAGAACAAGAGGCAGTACCAAAGGCTAGGGACCTAATCAATACAGACATTGGTAATATGTCAGATTCAGAGTTCAGAATGATGATTCTCAAGGTTCTAGCCGGGCTCGAAAAAGGCATGGAAGATATTAGATAAACCCTCTCAGGAGATATAAAAATAAAAGAACTAAAATCTAACCAAGTTGAAATAAAAAAAGCGATTCATGAGGTGCAATCAAAAATGGAGGCTCTCACTGCTAGGATAAATGAGGCAGAAGAAAGAATTAGCGATATAGAAGACCAAATGACAGAGAATAAAGAAGCTGAGCAAAAGAGGGACAAACAGCTACTGGACCACGAGGGGAGAATTCGAGAGATAAGTGACGAAACAACATTAGAATAATTGGGATTCCAGAAGAAGAGGAAACAGAGAGGGGAGCAGAAGGTATATTGGAGAGAATTATTGGAGAGAATTTCCCCAATATGGCAAAGGGAACAAGCATCAAAATCCAGGAGGTTCAGAGAACCCCCCTCAAAATCAATAAGAATAGGTCCACACCCCGTCACCTAATAGTAAAATTTACAAGTCTTAGTGACAAAGAGAAGATCCTGAAAGCAGCCCGGGAAAAGAAGTCTGTAACGTACAATGGTAAAAATATTAGATTGGCAGCAGACTTATCCACAGAGACCTGGCAGGCCAGAAAGAACTGGCATGATATATTCAGAGCACTAAACGAGAAAAACATGCAGCCAAGAATACTATATCCAGCTAGGCTATCATTGAAAATAGGAGGAGAGATTAAAAGCTTCCAGGACAAACAAAAACTGAAAGAATTTGCAAATACAAAACCAGCTCTACAGGAAATATTGAAAGGGGTCCTCTAAGCAAAGAGAGACCCTAAAAGTAGTAGATCAGAAAGAAACAGAGACAATATACAATAACAGTCACCTTACAGGCAATACAATGGCACTAAATTCATATCTCTCAATAGTTACCCTGAATGTTAATGGGCTAAATGCCCCAATCAAAAGACACAGGGTATCAGAATGGATAAAAAAACAAAACCCATCTTTATGTTGCCTACAAGAAACTCATCTTAAACCCGAAGACACCTCCGGATTTAAAGTGAGGGGGTGGAAAAGAATTGACCATGCTAATGGACATCAGAAGAAAGCAGGAGTGGCAATCCTTATATCAGATCAATTAGATTTTAAGCCAAAGACTATAATAAGAGATGAGGAAGGACACTGTATCATACTCAAAGGAACTGTCCAACAAGCAGATCTAACAATTTTAAATATCTATGCCCCTAACGTGGGAGCAGCCAACTATATAAACCAATTAATAACAAAATCAAAGAAACACATCAACAATAATACAATAATAGTAGCGGATTTTAACACTCCCCTCACTGAAATGGACAGATCATCCAAGCAAAAGATCAACAAGGAAATAAAGGCCTTAAATGACACACTGGACCAGATGGACAATCACAGATATATTCAGAACATTTCATCCCAAAGCAACAGAATACACATTCTTCTCTAGTGCACATGGAACATTCTCCAGAATAGATCACATTCTCGGTGCTAAATCAGGTCTCAATCGTTATCAAAAGATTGGGAATCATTCCCTGCATATTTTCAGACCACAACGCTCTGAAGCTAGAACTCAATCACAAGAGGAAATTTGGAAAGAACCCAAGTACATGGAGACTAAACAGCATCCTTCTAAAGAATGAATGGGTCAACCAGGAAATTAAAGAAGAATTGAAAAAATTCATGGAAACAAATGATAATGAAAACACAACGGTTCAAAATCTGTGGGACACAACAAAGGCAGTCCTGAGAGGAAAATATATAGCGGTACAAGCCTTTCTCAAGAAACAAGAAAGGTCTCAGGTACACAACCTAACCCTACACCTAAAGGAGCTAGAGAAAGAACAAGAAAGGAACCCTAAACCCAGCAGGAGAAGAGAAATCATAAAGATCAGAGCAGAAATCAATGAAATAGAAACCAAAAAAACAATAGAACAAATCAACGAAACTAGGAGCTGGTTCTTTGAAAGAATTAATAAGATCGATAAACCCCTGGCCAGACTTATCAAAAAGAAAAGAGAAGGACCCAAATAAATAAAATCATGAATGAAAGAGGAGAGATCACAACTAACACCAAAGAAATACAGACAATTATAAGAACATACTATGAGCAACTCTACGCCAACAAATTTGACAATCTGGAAGAAATGGATGCATTCCTAGAGACATATAAACTACCACAACTGAACCAGGAAGAAATAGAAAGCCTGAACAGACCCATAACCAGTAAGGAGATTGAAACAGTCATCAAAAATCTCCAAACAAACAAAAGCCCAGGGCCAGACGGCTTCCCGGGGGAATTCTACCAAACATTTAAAGAAGAACTAACTCCTATTCTCCTGAAACTGTTCCAAAAAATAGAAATGGAAGGAAAACTTCCACACTCATTTTATGAGGCCAGCATCACCTTGATCCCAAAACCAGACAAGGATCCCATCAAAAAAGAGAACTACAGACCAATATCCTTGATGAACACAGATGCAAAAATTCTCGCCAAAATACTAGCCAATAGGATTCAACAGTACATTAAAAGGATTATTCACCACGACCAAGTGGGATTTATTCCAGGGCTGCAAGGTTGGTTCAACATTTGCAAATCAATCAATGTGATACCGCACATTAATAAAAGAAAGAACAAGAACCAATGATACTCTCCGTAGATGCTGAGAAAGCATTTGTGAAAGTACAGCATCCCTTCCTGATCAAAACTCTTCAAAGTGTAGGGATAGAGGGCACTTACTTCAATATTATCAAAGCCATCTATGAAAAACCCACCGCAAATATCATTCTCAATGGAGAAAAACTGAAAGCTTTTCCGCTAAGGTCAGGAACACGGCAGGGATGTCCATTATCACCACTGCTATTCAACATAGTACTAGAAGTCCTAGCCTCAGCAATCAGACAACAAAAGGAAATGAAAGGCATCCAAATCGGCAAAGAAGAAATCAAACTATCACTCTTCGCAGATGATATGATACTATATGTGGAAAACCCAAAAGACTCCACTCCAAAACTGCTAGAACTTGTACAGGAATTCAGTAAAGTGTCAGGATATAAAATCAATGCACAGAAATCAGTTGCATTTCTCTACACCAACAACAAGACAGAAGAAAGAGAAATTAAGGAGTCCATCCCATTTACAATTGCACCCAAAACTATAAGATACCTAGGAATAAACCTAACCAAACAGGCAAAGAATCTATACACAGAAAACTATAAAGTACTCATGAAAGAAATTGAGGAAGACACAAAGAAATGGAAAAATGTTCCATGCTCCTGGATTGGAAGAATAAATATTGTGAAAATGTCTATGCTACCTAAAGCAATCTACACATTTAATGCAATTCCTATCAAAGTACAATCCATTTTTTTTTCAAAGAAATGGAACAAATAATCCTAAAATTTATATGGAACCAGAAAAGACCTCGAATAGCCAAAGCAATATTGAAAAAGAAAGCCAAAGTTGGTGGCATCACAATTCCAGACTTCAAGCTCTATTACAAAGCTGTCATCATCAAGACAGCATGGTACTGGCACAAAAACAGACACATAGATCAATGGAACAGAATAGAGAGCCCAGAAATAGACCCTCAACTCTATGGTCAACTAATCTTCGACAAAGCAGGAAAGAATGTCCAATGGAAAAAAGACAACCTCTTCAATAAATAGTGTTGGAAAAATTGGACAGCCACATGCAGAAAAATGAAATTGGATCATTTCCTTACACCACACCCGAAAATAGACTCAAAATGGATGAAGGACCTCAATGTGAGAAAGGAATCCATCAAAATCCTTGAGGAGAACACAGGCAGCAACCTCTTCGACCTCAGCCGCAGCAACATCTTCCTAGGAACATCGCCAAAGGCAAGGGAAGCAAGGGCAAAAATGAACTATTGGGATTTTATCAAGATCAAAAGCTCTTGCACAGCAAAGGAAACAGTTAACAAAACCAAAAGACAACTGACAGAATGGGAGAAGATATTTGCAAACGACATATCAGATAAAGGGCTAGTGTCCAAAATCTATAAAGAACTTAGCAAACTCAACACCCAAAGAACCAATAATCCAATCAAGAAATGGGCAGAGGACATGAACAGACATTTCTGCAAAGAAGACATCCAGATGGCCAACAGACACATGAAAAAGTGCTCCACATCACTCGGCATCAGGGAAATACAAATCAAAACCACAATGAGATATCACCTCACACCAGTCAGAATGGCTAAAATTAACAAGTCAGGAAATGACAGATGCTGGCGAGGATGTGGAAAAAGGGGAACCCTCCTACACTGTTGGTGGGAATGGAAGCTGGTGCAACCACTCTGGAAAACAGCATGGAGGTTCCTCAAAATGTTGAAAAATAGAACTACCCTATGACCCAGCAATTGCACTCCTGGGTATTTACCCTAAAGATACAAACGTAGTGATCCGAAGGGGCACGTGCACCCGAATGTTTATAGCAGCAATGTCTACAATAGCCAAACTATGGAAAGAACCTAGATGTCCTTCAACAGACGAATGGATAAAGAAGAAGTGGTATATATACACAATGGAATACTATGCAGCCATCAAAAGAAATGAAATCTTGCCATTTGCGACGACGTGGATGGAACTAGAGGGTATCATGCTTAGCGAAATAAGTCAATCGGAGAAAGACAACTATCATATGATCTCCCTGATATGAGGGAGAGGAGATGCAACACAGGGAGTTAAGGGGGTAGGAGAAGAGTAAATGAAACAAGATGGGATTGGGAGGGTGACAAAACATAAGTGACTCTTAATCTCACAAAACAAACTGAGGGTTGATGGGGGGAGGGGGGTTGGGGGGGTGGGATTATGGACATTGGGTAGGGTATGTGCTATGGTGAGTGCTGTGAAGTCTGTAAACCTGGAGATTCACAGACCTGTACCCCTGGGGATAAAAATATATTATATGTTTATAAAAAATAAAATTAAAAAAAAAAGAATTAATGCATAAAAATCCCTAAGAGAGTTTCTGGCACATAAGAAGTATTCAATAAAAAGTTTATTATCATTATTGTCTTTGGACTGCTTCTGACTATATATTTACAGGAAAAGTCTCAAGTCATTTTCTCTATTTTTCTATCTCATAAAATTGTCAAAACAAAAATATAACACCTAACATTTTTTTCAGGAGTGTAGTCAATGGTCCATTTACTTTCTCTTTTTATATCTTTTTTTTTTTTAATTTTTTAGCCTTGTCAAAAATCCCCTTGTTGATCAAGAACTAATGCAAGACAAAACCAGCAGGTTCACCTGCAAAGGAAAACCGATTTACCATTTCATGGGGACCCCTACCTTTGTTCAGTACACTGTAGTATCAGATATAAATCTTGCTAAAATCGATGATGATGCAAATTTAGAGAGAGTTTGTCTGTTTGGATGTGGGTTTTCAACCGGCTACGGAGCTGCAGTCAACACTGCCAAGGTAAAAGTGTTTCATCACCAGGTTGCATGAAACAGGATTTTACCAGGAGACAGGGTGATAAAACAGCTAGTTATTCTTCAAGCCCTAGCTCTGTCATTGATCACCTCTGTGGTGTTAGGCAAATTATTTAACCTCTCTACTCCTACTCTCTGCAATAACATCTACTACAAATGGTTTTGGAGATGATTAAATCATATTACCTATGTAAGACATCTGGCCCAGCAGCTGGCATAGAGTTGGCACCTGGTTCATGTTAATCTCTTTTCCTATACGGATACATTAGATTACAGACCATCCCTGCCTTAAACACTGCCTGGTTAAATATGTCCCCTGAATATAAATGCTCATCCTGGGACAGCAGACCCAGTCAAGAGGCAACAGAAACTACAGAAACCCCACCCATACAGTCACCCCTGCTTTCCCCCTGATCTTGCAGATTTCTCTCCCTCCAATTTGTAGTTCATCTCCGCTTCTCATCCTGTCCCTTTATGGCTCCAATGGAGTGTCTCAGGAGGCAGCCCTGAGTGTGGCAAGATGCATCCCTGGAAGCTTTCACAAGCTTCTAGAAGCTTTCACAAAACTGTTCAATGAGAACTGGACAGATGTCAGTATCACTTGGATGCCTCAAACAACCCCCTTATTGAAGCCTCTTTCACATCAGTCTTCATCCCTTGAGTTCAAACTGCAAAATGCAACCAGAGTGGTATTTCTAAACAACAAATGTGAAGATTTCATTCCCCTTTCATTATTCCACTTTTCTGTCAGCAAGCTAGTGATTCTCCCTAATTCTCCCTTCGCAGGCTCACCATTCCCCAAGGCTGACCCTCAGTCTCTGGGCTCCAGTAACTGTGGCACCTGGGCTTTCCATACCTGGTTCCCACCAACACTGTATGGAAAACTCCCCCACCTCTTCTGGTTGACTCCATTTTTTTTTTAACTTCCTACCAGAAACCCTCCAACCTCTCAGGCATGCATTGAGTGTCCCTGCCAAGTTCCCCCAAAGTATCTGTGTTTATCCCCATCTTCCTTCTTAACACACTCTGGAGAAATTTTCCATTTATTTCTCCTTCCTATCAGACTATTTGGTCCTTGAAGGCAAGAACTCTCTTGTTCATTGTGATATCTCCAGAGCCTAGCCCCATGCCTGGCACACAGTAGGAACTGGATAATTTTTCAATGAATGAATGAAGCCAGGCTCTTATGCGACCCTTTAAACACCTTGATAAGGCTTGATCCTCAGCTTTAAAATCCAAATATTCCTTTTTATCAGGCTACCTGGAGTTGTTTAAGTGCCAAGCAATTAAACTCAGCCTAACCAAAATAAAAAGCTGATCTAATAGCCAAAATATCAAGATAAGACTTCTCACTGAGAATTACTCAAGCAGACAGGAATGCTACTTTTGGCTATTAGTATATTAAAAATTAAAAAATTGTATGAGAAGTCAGACTACAATCTGAAGGCTCCTAGAGGAAAGGTATCGTTAATTGAGTGGAGTTAAAAGCAGATGTAACCATGGAAGTCAAGGCATATTCTCCTCTAGAAAGCACTGGAAGCATTATTGCTCTTTGGGCCACCCGTCCCCCTTTCCTGGAGTCCATGCAGACTATCACCTTCTACTACTCTAGTCTTTCTTCAGGGATATTAACACTAAAGATTCAGCTACAGTTTTCTTTAAAAACCAATCAAAGTTGATGTAAATTTCACGTCCTGCTCTTCTCACTGTTGAGGAACACTTAAACCACTTCATAGGAGGCTTAGGGAATAGAAGAAAAATGAATCTGATAGTAACAAATTAAGAGAAGAAATATCACTGATTCTAGCCAAAGGGCAAGAGTTTAATAAAGTTTAATATACTTCTGGGAAAAAAAGTAATGAAACAACTTTGTATAATTATTGTATAACCTGCATCCAGGATGACCAGGACTCCTAATTCTTTTTAATCTGCTCATATCCTTTACTGCCAAATTAACCACAAGTCACAGAGATCTTTGGAAGCATGAAAGTGTCCTGTAACAGTGTTGTCTATAAATAGATAATCATCCACTATGTATAGTCCTATTCTCAAATGGGGAGAGGCGTACTTTATGTAACACTTTCCCCTACTGCAATCAAAGGCACTTTTACACACAGCCATTCAGTTGTTTAACACAATTAATACAGTGTATTCTAATTATATGGTTGTGAGCTGTGTACAACCACTGTGTACAACATTGCCCCAATGAGAAAAATGCCTTTCTACTCTCAATGACACAGGCAAATTTTTGAACACAGTCTCTAGAGAAATATATTTAGAACTATGGTGAACACATACCACAATATTAAATAGTACATTGTGTACATAGAAAATATTCTGAGTATTTGTAAAAAATGTTTTATTTCACCCTGAGTATCAAAAGTCAGTGTATGCATGCCTAATATCATGCATAAATTAAAGTAAGAGACACTCATTCACTCCATTCATTAACAATTTTGTTTCCAATTTAGAATGTATCACTACTCCCCGTGGGCAGATTCCTCTTTCCCTTTTGTTTATGATTTAATTCTAACAGTTTCCCATCATCATTAGAAAATATTACTTAAGCATATCTCTGTATAGTTTTTTTTTTTTTACTGTTATACCATTCTACAGAATAACACATCTCAGTCACAGCAACTTTCCTTATTCAATGCAACGAACATTTATTAAAGACACAACATACAGAATACCCTTAATAGCAATGTGGAAGATAATAAGCCTTCAAAGAACTTAGTCTTTTGAAGAAACACACAAATACAAAATCAATCAACCAAGGCAGATTATAAATACAACATAAAAAAAGCAAAAAGGTGGGCACTAATTCCTGATTGAAGAATCAAGAGAAGTTTCATAGGGAGAGTGTCACTTAAGTTAGGCCTAGAAGTATAGGTCACATTTTAAAGAGAGGAAATACGGTGAGAAGTGCATCAGGCAGAGGAAACAGCATGAACTAAGGACAGAGAAAGGGAATGGCAACAGTGTGCTGTGTTGTAGCAATGGAACTACCACAGAGAGGAAGCTAGAAGTCAGCAGTTCAGCTCTAAAAACCCTTCGGTGTGATGCAAAGAAATCTAGATTTCATTCCATTTAAATTAACTGATGATTTGGGATGGGAGCTAATTTACATATAGAGAAACATCTGTGCTCATTCAAAACCAACTATAACACTAATATGACCAAATAAGACTTATTAAAAATATAAATTAATTATGATCTATTGAAAAAGGAAAACAATAAACCCTTTAAAATATGTGGGTTTTAAAAATGTGTTCTGGTAACAGTTAAAGGAAAGAGGAAACAAGCAGTTTATTTTCACTTGGGTTTGCTTCTCATGAGCTGATAATTCTAATGTCATTCAAATGATTGCCCATATTTAGCCAATGACCCATCCATTTTCATATTGGCATATTTCCCCCATTAGTTCTATCATCTTGTTTTATGACAGGCAGTCTTTTATTTTTATGTTCCTGTCCCCAGCTCACTCTCTTCCTTAAAAAAAAAAAAAAAATAGAAAAAAAGGTGAGGCCACTTCCTTGTATAGGGGCAGCTTGATGGCTCAGTCTTAGGCATCTGCCTCTGGCTCAGGTCATAATCCCAGAGTCCTGAGATCGGCCTCTCATTGGTCTCCCTGCTGCGAGGGAAGCCTGCTTCTCCCTCTCCCACTCCTCCTGCTTGTGTTCCCTATTTCACTGTGTCTCTCTTTGTCAAGTAAGTAAAATCTTTTTTTTAAAAAAAAGTTATTTTATTATTTTCCTGCCTGCAGGTCACTCCTGGTTCTACTTGTGCTGTCTTTGGCCTAGGAGGAGTTGGTCTTTCTGCTATAATGGGTTGTAAAGCAGCAGGAGCTTCCAGAATCATAGCTATTGACATCAACAGTGAGAAGTTTACGAAGGCCAAAGCCCTTGGAGCCACTGACTGCCTCAATCCTAGAAAGCTCGATAAACCCACCCAGGAGGTCATCATTGAAATGACCAGTGGAGGTGTCGATTTTGCCCTTGACTGTGCAGGGGGACCTGAAACCATGGTATGTATATTTTTTATAATAGTATATAATAATTTATATTTGTTAACATTAATAAACATTGGCAATATGTTTATACTGAATAGTTATTTTATATTTACGTTATATTATATATTTATATAGACAATATTTATTAATAATATTAGATTGTGTGTATTATTACTAATATTTAACTAATAAATATTAATATTTACTTAGTAAGTTATTAATATTTCTGTATATCCTTCCACGTGAAATTCAGTAAAAAGAGAAAATTTAGAAATGAAAATCTTTTTTTTTTTTTTTTTAAAGATTTTATTTATTTATTTGTCAGAGAGAGAGAGAGCGAGCACAGGCAGACAGAGTGGCAGGCAGAGGCAGAGGGAGAAGCAGGCTCCCCACAGAACAAGGAGCCCGACATGGGACTCAATCCCAGGACGCGGGATCATGACCTGAGCTGAAGGCAGCTGCCCAACCAACTGAGCCACCCAGGCGTCCCTAGAAATGAAAATCTTAAGAGAATTGTGCCTATGAGAAATGAGAAAGAAAAAAACAAAAAAGGCAGATTTAGAGAAGGGAAGAAGATAGGCTGACACAATATCACCCCTAACAGCTGGAGGTATTCCACTCCCACCTAAAAGCAGAGAGGTCAAAGGTTAGCAATCTACAAAATTAGGTCCACATCATAAATCTGAAATTTTCAAATATATTCAATATATTAAATACAAACACACACACACACACACTGCAAAATTTAAAAGTGGATTTTTTTTTTCCTAAACACTACAATTCGGTATCATTCAGATTTCTTCTCTCTGGACAACCTACATAATTTGCAGGCCTGTCTAGGCACAGGGCCCTAAGTGACTGCACCAGCTGGAGACCCACAAAGCCAGCCCTGTTTATTCTACTCTAGAAAGTGGGGTAAAGAGCCAACCACAGAGATAACACATGGAAAAGTTAGCTTGCCAGACTGCCCAGCCTCACTCTCCAATGAAGGTTCACTTGATGCCTATTTATTTGCTCAAAGACACTAAGTAGGGTTTTGCTTTGTTTTATGAAATGACCAGTTTATCAACTAATTATCTGCCCATGAATTCTTCTTATTTCATGAGTGAGCTCTGTGAGTAACTATGGCATTATACCCTTTTATTTACGACTTCACTCAATGAAGGCTCCCAAAACCCTCCTCTGGGGAGGTTATAGAAAATAGAATTCTGTACTTTAACCTCCTAGTAGCAGGCTTCCCTACAGTTCTTCCCCTCGGTTCTTATCCAACTCACACGTTCTCCAGAAGAGAATGGAGTTGGGGAGGAGCTTCGGGAAGCATCAGGCTCCCTTCCTACATCTCTCCTCTCAGGATGGTTTCACTGGAATAATGTAACTGCTTAAAGTTACATTACTACCTGGCAGGTAATAAGCACTCAATAAATATTAGTTGTTACTGAAAATGCATGCATTAAGGGCTCCTTAATGTACTGTGTTCAATGCTTCAGACCCTGCTTTTTAAATTATCCTTGGCATCTGCAACTTAAAACATGTTACATCCACTCCTCCACTTTCCACAGCTCAAATTTTTTTCAAACACTGAAATTCAGCCTATTGACCTTATTTTCCCAGTACAGAGATTGTCAATACTGGCTACACTTTAGAAATGTCTGGGGAGTTGTTACATTTGATACATTTTTTAGTACCAATGCATGGACCATTACCCAGGATATTCTCATGAGCCTAGGGGCCAGGTACCAATATTTTTTTACAAGTCACTCAAGTCAAGAACCACTTGGTTTAAAACTTGGCAGGTTCTATTATTATTTAAATTATGGAACAGGATTATACCAGAGAATCCAAATAAGAATAGATGGATTTATTTAATCACAAAAAGTTCAGCTACCTACCCATCCATCAAGTTGCCATAACTAAGGAAAGCTAAATTTCTCAGGTGTAGAGGATATTCCAGTAATGTGTGTGAACTTGAGTTCAACAAACACTAATTCTCTAAAGCAGGCTAAAAAATCCAACAGAACAATCAGAAAGTTACAATAACTGACAATGTTATAGTTTTGAGAAGTAAAAGTAATTCTCATCAAAAGTTATCAGAAGCTTCAAAATAAAACCTTGTACTTGCATATAATATCCATTTTTAACTAAGTTATCATTAAGGAGATGAATTCCTCACTTGAGCAAAGCTCCAGAAATGTAGAAAAGGCAAACAGGGGGAGCACCTGAGTGGCTTAGTTAGTTAGGCATCAGACTCTTGATTTCAGCTTGGGTCATGATCCTGGGGTCATGGGATTGAGCCCACATTGAGCTCTGTACTCAGCAAGCAGTCCACTCAGGATTCTCTCTCCCTCTGACCCTCTCAACTGCATGCTCTCTTGCTCACATGGATAAATCTTAAAAAAAAAAAAAATAAAAAGGCAAACAGGAAAAACACTTTAAAACTAAAACAGAAAATAGGAGTCAATGTAAATAGCTAGCTTCAGGTAACAAGTCTATGAATTTTCCCCTCTCCACGGATCTCTCTATACAGCATAAAGAAAAATACTTCTGCCATATAAAAAGTGCATAGGTAGAAGAGCTGCTATTTAGAAATGTTATGAATTCTCAAAACAATAAACATTTACTCAAATAAAAATTTCAAAACACATTCTAATAGTTCTAGGTCACTGCATCTATCATTGCTAGTAAGACAGACAAAGAAAAGGGGGAGAATTTACTGTACTTCAAATTGTTTCTTTTAGGGGTACCTGGGTGGCTCAGTCAGTTAAGCATCTGTTTTGGCTCAGGTCATGACCCCAGGCTCCTAGGACTGAGTCCCCCATCAAGGCCCCCATTGGGCTCCCTGCTCAGCGGGGAGTCCGCTTCTCCCTCTCCTCTGCCACTCCCCCCACTTGTGCTCTCTCACTCTCACTCTCTCTCAAATAAATATATAAAATCTATTTTTTAATCGCTTCTTTTATACAGTGATTGGTGATGAAAAAAGCTATACTTCCTATTGAGACTTTTATAAAAGTAAAAATTGCCCCAACAAGTCAGAATTAAGTTGAGCACGGACTATGGCAAAGGACATAAAACAAAGCTCACACTTTTCTTCTTTAAGATTAGTCTCAAAAGATTTAAATGTTCATCTATTTACCATATAGCTTCTTGTGGAATGGCTATCAACAAGTTTATATATTTCTTAAATTTCTTTATATTTTCAATCCTTGGCATTTTTGTATTAACCCCAAACTTCCAATAAGTTACCATAATATGGTTTTCTCTGTCATGGGAAGATCAGTGCAACTCCCCTGGACCACTGCCTTCCTTGCAGTGACTCAGCAATCAAGGCTTAATCAAGCTCACATTTTCAGCTTCACAATCTCAACATGAGGTCATCTTGGTTGTTACAGCAGGAGAATGGACAGCTGGCAGGTCGCACACCAGCTTTCCTGTTTTGTCTATGAGGTAACACATCACTTCTGCTCACAGCCCATGGCCCAGAGTTAGTGATATAACTCCACCTAACTATGAGAGTTAAATAATGTAGGGAAACAGATGAAATGTTTTATGAGCAGCACCCAATGTCAGATTCTGTTTAACTGTTTTGCTCTCTGCTTTAAATAGATTTTTTTTAATCTATTCTATTGAGATATACTAAGTTTACAGTGTATACCTCACTTCCTAGGTTCTAGTAAATACTTATTCATCCTCTCCTCAGGACTTCAAGGATTGTGTTTTTATGTCTCTGAAATTGCACATTTTAGTATGTACTCAACGGCAGATCACAGAAAACTTGATTAGAATTTATAATATACATCTTCTAGAGTTCTTCCCTAACTTCACATATGTTTTTTTTCTTGATATGCAATGATCTACATTCCAGGTTCAGCCCAACTATGGTATTAAATAGAAGAAATTATTAGGCTCTGTTTCTTTCTAATATCTTTTTTGATGACATTCAAATTTTTAATGAATGTTCTATCTGAAACTGAACAGTGCAGCTTTAAGTATCAATCAACAATACCATTACCTCCTTAGCTTAAATAATCTTGTCTTATATGCAGAGTTGTATAAATTTTCCCTCAGGTATTGTACATACCTACTCTAGAGTTAGTGTTCTACTTTTTCTACTTACTCAGCTAATTCTTTTCGTTTGACTTCCAGAGAGCAGCCCTGGACAGTACAACAGCAGGTTGGGGGTCATGTACTTTCATTGGAGTAGACTCTGAAATGACAGGACTGATGATATTTCCAGTGGAGCTAATAATGGGCCATACCATAAATGGAACATGCTTTGGTGGTCAGTTTCTTTCCTCTTTTAATTTTCTCCATAGTGGTATGCAAATTCTTATAATGAAGATTATTGAATGGAAAGGAAAATTATTTAAATACTGAATGCCTAATAATACATCTAGAGACTATATAAAAGTTATTCTAGGAATTATTTGAAAGTAAATATTTTGTATACATGGATAACTACAATTTGCACACTGAAATTCAATTTGCATTAAAGTGAACCAACACAGAGGAACAAAAGGTAAACTTTGACCAAACTGAGATAATTCCTTATCTAGAAATAGGAACTAATTTTAACATTTCTTATTAAGAAAAACTTTTAAATAAATACAAGTGTAGAAAATTAAAGAAGCAACCTAATAATTTCATTCATTCAACAAACTGATTAAACTAACTCCTGTCAAGTACCATGTCTTTACTTGGCATTTTGGCCAAATTACAGGTTGGAAATGCATCGATTCTATCCCAAAGCTGGTTACTGACTACAAGAAGAAGAAAATTGATCTGGATATATTGGTGACTCATACCCTGCCTTTTGACAAAATCAATGAGGCATTTGACATAATGAACCAAGGCAAAAGGTAAATTAACAAACAGAGGAATAAGTGGTTTGAAAAAACTTTACGATGACTATTTTATGTTAAGAACTAACCAGTTTGTCTTTTCTGACATCTTCCACATCATCACACATACTAGATGTGCTTAAAAGATTAAATAGTGGCCTCTGGAAAAAAGATAAGCTTCCTACTCTATTTCCATAATATACACTGTCATACACTATTCCAACATAGAATGGGGATATAAACTGATACATATTTTCCTTCTCACAAACAACTATTAACTCAGTTGGGGCTGCTCTCTAGAAAGAAAGGTTTTCACAGTATAAGGTCAGGTTACTCTGGTGCAATATTGCCCTGGGTTTCACCTAAGTATGTTCTGCAATTAACAAAAAATGCCCACCCCAGGCCCTTCATAATCAGAACCAGGTAAAAACCATGGACATGTGAGCAGTGAGTGGCTCATTTAAAGAAACTTAAAGGGTGCCCCAACTCTAACTCCCTCTTGCTTTGTCCCTGGTCTTCTATAAGATACATTCTGATCTACAGTTTTAGCTATATTGTGCTCCTCTGGCACAGACCCTGAGAACTGATTTATAGAAATGTCCCAATTGGGGGACCTGTAGCAACTGGGGAGCAGGAGACCTTAGGATGATTAATTTTGGTTAAAATGATCAAGCACAGTTTGGTAACTAAAAACAAAGGGGAAAACACCAGGAACAGTTTCACAGAGGAGATGCAGGACCAAAAAAGCAATGAAAAGAGAAGATATCACAAAATGGGAGTCAGGGGAACCTAAAGTTAAATGACATGAGTTTGAAGCAGAAAATGTTGCAAAAGAAGAAAATAGGTCCATGACGTGAGGATCCAGTTTCTTTCCTGGGAAAGAAACCTGAGAAATTATTTCTACTGACATGAATTCTCTAATTTGCAAACATATTAGCTACAACGTATCCAAAAGAAGCTCAATAGGGGCACCAGGTTGGCTCAGACAGCTGAGCCCCTGCCTTTGGCTCAGGTCATGGTCCCAGAGTCCTGGGATCAAGTCCCACTTTGGGTTCCCTGCTCAGCGGGGAAAGTGCTCCTCCCCCTCACTCTCTCTCTATGCTCTTTCTCTCTCGAATGAGTAAAATCTTTATTAAAAAAAAAAAAAAGTTCAATAAAAAGAAAAAGAAAAAAGAACCATTATTTAAGCTATATAAGATAACTTAGTGTATAAATCCTGCAATATCTCGCACATTCTCAATAGCCCCATAAGGAACAGCCCTTATGTTGGGAGTTAGGTTGGAGTTTGGGGCCTCAGACTATAAAACTCTCATCTCCTCCACCACCATCCCCTTTTTCCCCTAGAGTTATGTTACAGAATATAACACACAAGGAATGCTGAGTGGGAGCCAAATGGAAAATGGTGAATTACTTTATTAATAGCTGGGAAAGTCTCCCATACTCTTAAAGCAGGCCTGATAATCAATGGAAGAATGCTAGGCTGAGGGCTAGATACCTGAATGAGGCCTCATACTTCCCCTCTGGCTCACTGGGAAGACCACATTACTGCCCACACTGATGGGAAAGTGACAGTGGAGAAGGCAGAGGATAGAAGTTAGCATATGGGTACAGAAGCAAGGAAGTAGAGGGAATGCAACACCCAGCTGGTCTTTTAAGGTGCAGTGACCCTGACTCATGGTGAGGCAAGGACACAGAGGTTCTCCCTCCACAGGTAGACAGATGTGGTTCCAGTCTCTGGGTGAAGAAACCATCACACATGGCAACCTGCTAAAGGCAGGGATTCCACAGCTAGGTGGAACATAAGGAAGTCTCTGTCCTTGAGGCTTTACCCCCTTCTTTGCTTCTTGTTGAAGGAATTATCCAGGAGTAAGAATATTTAGGTTCTCAGAAGCATCATCCCAGCACACCAAGCAGTGACTGTTCCAAGATGAAAATCCCACTACAACCAGAGCATGTTCTACTCTGTAGCAACAAAGTGCAGCACAGACCTCACCCAGGGTCACATGAGGGTCCCCAACTTTTCCCAGCTTAATAGCACCATGTACAAAGTATTATTAATTCCATGAATGGCAAGATAAAAGAAATTAGGGATAATGTATTAATTTCTTTTCTTTATAGATTGTCTATAAAGAAAGACTGAACCAAATGTTGAAAGAAAAATACAAAAATTGAGGCATCTGGGTGGCTCAGTCAGTTGGGCAGCTGCCTTCTGCTCAGGTCATGATCCCAGGGTCCTGGAATCGAGGCTGCATCGGGCTCCCTGTTTCTCCCTCTCCCTCTGCCTGTCATTCTCCTTGCTTGTGCTCTCTCTCTCTCTCTCTCTCTCTCTCTCAATCTCTGTCAAATAAATAAATAAAATCTTTAAAAAAATACAAAAATTATTTGTGTTTTGGTTAAATTTACCATAAAAAATTATGCCAACGATTGTCTTATTTTTCACAGCATTCGAATAGTCCTGACCTTCTGAAGACAGCAGGAACAATCTGGAAATCTACCTGACTGATTCTGAATGGTTCCAGTTGATTTGTAGCCTATAATAAGGAAACAAAGATTGCCATGAATTTAAACAACTATTTGTAGCTATATAATTACTTAACATCAAATAGTTATAAACATCATAGTATCTGTACCCATAAAGCATGTTAATATTTCCTGTTTAGTAAGTATGATAACTGATGTGTTTATGAACAGAATTATGAGAATTGTTTAAAACTAGTTCTGCAGGGGCGCTTGGGTGGCTCAGTCATTAAGCGTCTGCCTTCAGCTCAGGTCATGATCCCGGGGTTCTGGGATTGAGCCCCACATCCAGTTTCCTGCTTGGCGGGAAGCCTGTTTCTCCCTCTACTTGTGCTCCCTCTCTTGCTGTGTCGCTCTCTGTCAAATAAATAAATAAAGTCTTTAGAAAAATAAATAAATAAAACTATTTCTACAGAGGTGGGAGTGAAGAATGAAGAGTAATAAGTAAAGCTAGATTGGCTATATGTTTATAATATTTTAGGATGGGTGATGAATATATGGGGTTTCCTTACACTGTTCTCTCTACTTTTGTTTATATTAAAATTTTCCATAATAAAATAATTTTTACTAGAAAAAATTACTATTATAGATGTGTACATAAGATACATATATCTTTAAAATATGTCACGTATATAAAATGCTATTACATAATTTCTGGGTTTCAATAAGCTGCAAGCTCATCTTTAATAAGTTGCTCAGTAATTTCCTTTTTAACATCCGGTATTTTCTATTCTCTCAGCCCTACTTTACTGCTATGAACTACAATTACAAGTAGTGGGATATCAGAAGGTATATAAATGAGTATAGATGTACAAAAAATGAAGATTTTTTAAAAGAAAAAACACATCTATACCCTCCAATTTCTATCTTTATTAATTGCCCCTTTCACCTTTGATAATCATGACAACGTATAATGTTTAGAACTTCGGAGTTTAACAATCTATAATTTGCGTTAAGTATTTTTCCAGCCAATGAAAAATAACAAAGAGGGCGCCTGGGTGGCTCAGTGGTTTAAGCTGCTGCCTTCGGCTCAGGTCATGATCTCAGGGTCCTGGGATGGAGTCCCACATCGGGCTCTCTGCTCAGCAGGGAGCCTGCTTCCCTCCCTCTCTCTGCCTGCCTCTCTGTCTACTTGTGATCTCTCTCTGTCAAATAAATAAATAAAATCTTTAAAAAAAAAAAAGAAAAATAACAAAGAGAAAAGTACCTATAATAAAGTAACACAGTAAGTAAAAAGTTACAAGATATAACAGACAATAAGATTTATATAGGCTTTAGTGGGAAAGGAGGGGAAAAAATTAAAAATAAAAAAGATTTATATGAAAAGTAAAATGAGTATTTTTAAACAATCCTCATAGACACTACAATGGACAGTTTAAGGATAAGAGAGATAATAATATCATGATATTTGGATCACAGTAACAAACACTAGCTATCAGCTTAGAATAACTCCTGAAACCAACTAGTTTTATTTTTAAATGTTTTCCACATGTTGAATTCTGAGGGAAAATAAACTTCTCAGAAGCTCTGGCAGAGGAGGGTGATAATATCTCAAAGCAGAAACTAGTATTCCTGCTTCCTGCAGAGTCTCTTTCCTTAGAAATGGAAGCCAGTTCATCTGTGTGTAAATGCTTGCTTTGTTGGCATCCTGGGGAGAAGGATGTGCCCAACAGAAGGCTGGCTGTCCTTTCCCAGGCTATTCCCTGTGTCAGGTATGTCTGTCCCCTCATCCCCTCACCTCCTCTCCTCAAGCCTTCTCCAGCCTCCCTTGAGTTCCACCACCTTTTCAAGCTGTTGGCAGCCACAGAGATGTTTTCCCTCCCTGATCTCCTTAGGTTCTTAATGTCTTTATCGAAATCCTAACACACGCCTTTTCAAGTGCATGTTTGTAAACTTCTTCAAGGCAGACAGTCTTTGAATACGTGCCTCTGTTAGACACAATAAATAGATGGTGCTTGACAGAGTTTATCCTCACAAGTATCTGGTTTATGTTAGAATGATATTTCTTCTAAGTGATATTTTTCCAAAACATTTTCTACATGCTTCTTTTTCTACTAAACAGAGATTCACAAACCCAATCCTAATAACTCAGAATGGTCACTATGAGAATTTTTATGCCAAGTTGTTTTCCTCTTCCTCTCCCTTCTCTCCCTCTATCTCTGCAATCACTCCTGCAGTCAGTGGCCCCTGACTCTATCCGTCTTTTAATTTTCCAATTTTGGTTCTGTGACTTGGAAAAAAACAAACAAAACAACTTCATTATTCTTCACAAGTCTGTTAAAATTACTTACATAATCAGTGAAAACCCAGAGTGATGTGTATGAAGTTAAAGCTGAACTTTGATCATTCCTTTGGCAGCAGAGGCCTTTTTTCTCATCCATGCACCCAGCTGAAACTCCTAGTGTATGAAATTACAATATAATTCTACAGTACAATATAATTACACAATATCGTTTCCTTTAGATAAGAAATCTACAATGTAATTGGGGGACCTAATGCCTAAGTCCCCCAAACATCTCTTTCTTAAATGAGAAACGAATGCTGAATCTGTATGATACTCCAGGAACCAAAATCACACACCAGTAACACATCTGGCAATGCGCAGAAAAGTTCCATTTAAAAATTGCACTTTATTTTTTTAAAAGACTTATTTATTTGACAGACAGAGGCAAAGAGAGACTGAGGGCAGGAAGGGGGCAGAGGGAGAGGAAGACAAGCAGACACCTCACTGAGGGGAGAGACTGACATGGGCTCTACCCCAGGCCCCTCAGGATCATGCCCTGAGCTGAAATCAAGAGTGAGATGCTTAACTGAGCCCCTAAAAACTGCACTTTAAATACATAAAAATAAATTGCAAGCTACTGACAATTATCCGTTTCTCCTAAGGGCTCTCACATTCTCGCTTCAATTTTAAATGTCACTTTTTAAAATACTAGGGGCAACACACAAATCACAGTATTTCTAGGGTACCAAGTTACAAACAAAACTGGAATGGAACTTGATCCCTCCAAAGGGAAAAAGAAAATTATTTTAAAGTTTTCAATTCTCTAACATAGATATTCAAGCCTATTTTTTTGAGTGTGTGCTTTTTCGGCCTGAATTTATTACAAAACTTTAAGAATGTCAGTTAATAGGGTGAGCAATACTTGAATTTAAAAGGCAATACAATCATGGTATACTCTTCTGACAAGAAAAAAAAAATGCGGTTTTAAGATACAGCCCCAGTCTCTTCAAACATCTTAGTCAATAATTGTTTTTCTAAATGCTACTACAGCACCCTCTGGTGTTCTTTAAAACACTTTTTCCCGTCTGCCAGATTCTATTTTCTTGAAGAAAAAGGATTCAGGGAGAGAATAACAAGTTTCATTTATATCATAGTTAACATTTTAAAAAGTACTTTCATGTGCATTATTCCATATGATTCTCCAGAATTCTGACTGGACAATAAATTCTTTTTTTTTTTTAAGATTTTATTTATTGATTTATTTGAAAGAGAGAGACAGAGATAGTGAGAGACAGAACATAAGTGGGGAGGAGAGGGAGAAGCAGGCTTCTGGAACTATGACTGGAGTTGAAGGCAGATGCTCAACTGACTGAGCTACCTAGGCACCCTAGACCATAAATTCTTGAGGGTAAGGCCATTTTTCATATTCTTTGAGTGCCTTGCCAATAGCAGGCCCTCCAGCAATGTGCTCTATGAGGTATTTATTAATTTATTAACCTCATCAAATAAAGCCTGTGTTACAGGGAAAAGAGACACTATTTTTCTCACTTGCTTATGAAGACTCTCATAAGCAAGTGGGAAAAATCTTGAAGGGTCACAGAAACTTCAAGCTGAACATGATCTTAAGAATGGATGGTAACATGTAGGAGAAGGTCCCTATTAGGAGATAACTGCTGAAGAATTTAGGGGTAAATTTCATGAGATTTGCAACTTCCTTTCAAATTGCTCATCAAAAAGTGTGTGTGTGTGTGTGTGTGTGTGTGTGAGAGAGAGAGAGAGAGAGAGAGAGAGAGAGAGAGAGAAAGTAAATGTGACCAAAAAATATTAATTGGTACATCTAGGTGAAAAGCATAGAGGTATCCATTGTCCTGTTTTTCAAATTCTGAAATCGTAAAACTTTTCAAAATAAAAAGTTGGGTCAAGAAAGACGGATATTTCCCAATTCCACATTAAATAAATAAGTCACATTTTATTTTTATTTTTTTAATCATTTTTTAAAATTTATTTTCAGCATAACAGTATTCGTTGTTTTTGTACCACACCCAGTGCTCCATGCAATCCGTGCCCTCTCTAATACCCACCACCTGGTTCCCCCAACCTTCCACCCCCTGCACCTCTTCAAACCCTTCAGATTGTTTTTCAGAGTCCATAGTCTCTCATTGTTCACCTCCCCTTCCAATTTCCCCCAACTCCCTTCTCCTAACTCCCCATGTCCTCCATGCTATTTGTTATGTTCCACAAATAAGTGAAACCATATGATAATTGACTCTCTCTGCTTGACTTATTTCACTCAGCATAATCTCTTCCAGTCCCGTCCATGTTGCTACAAAAGTTGGGTATTCATCCTTTCTGATGGAGGCATCCTTTCTGATGGAGGTCCATAGTGTATATGGACCACATCTTCCTTATCTATTCGTCCATTGAAGGGCATCTTGGTTCTTTCCAGTTTGGCGACTGTGGCCATTGCTGCTATAAACATTGGGGTACAGATGGCCCTTCTTTTCACTACATCTGTATCTTTGGGGTAAATACCCAGTAGTGCAATTGCAGGGTCATAGGGAAGTTCTATTTTTAATTTCTTGAGGAATCTCCACACTGTTCTCCAAAGAGGCTGCACCAACTTGCATTCCCACCAACAGTGTAAGAGGGTTCCCCTTTCTCCACATCCCCTCCAACACATGTTGTTTCCTGTCTTGCTAATTTTGGCCATTCTAACTGGTGTAAGGTGGTATCTCAATGTGGTTTTAATTTGAATCTCCCTGATGGCTAATGATGATGAACATTTTTTTCATGTGTCTGATAGCCATTTGTGTGTCTTCATTGGAGAAGTGTCTGTTCATATCTTCTGCCCATTTTTTGATATGATTGTCTGTTTTGTGCGTGTTGAGTTTGAGGAGTTCTTTATAGATCCTGGATATCAACCTTTTGTCTGCACTGTCATTTGCAAATATCTTCTCCCATTCCGTGGGTTGCCTCTTTGTTTTCTTGACTGTTTCCTTT